AAAATAGAGGTGTCAATCTCAACTTTACATGTGCTTACAACTGCTGTGGGTTTTCATTTTTTTTTACAGCCACAAAATACCAAAATGGAACCACCTCACATAATCATAAAAGATCTTAAAGATTACTGTACATAATCAGAATGCCACTTGTCTGAAACGCCACCACCCCCAGTGAGTGAGGAAGAGAAGTTGAGGTAATGAAGTTACAGTACAATGGCTACATTAAGAGGCAAAGTCTTAATTAATACATCAATGTGCACTATTCTCTTTTAAGAAGTTACCCTAAATTCATTTGCTCATTTCTCAAGTACAAAACCAATCAAAGCTCCAAAATACTTCTCAATTAAGCAAATCTATAGGATAATATGAATGACAAAGTGTTAAGCATAACATTCACGCACATGTGAAGGGAATGTAACCATGCAGCAGATTGGAGTTAGGAATGGATGCCAGTAAACAACTCTCACCTATACCTAAAAACAATAAAAAAATAGGAAACAATGCCCGATCACTACTGGTTCAACTCAACCGACTTGAACAATTCTCTAAATGGAGGCTTCAATTACGTTAAATCCAACAAACAGACAATCCAGTACTACAAATTCTGGTACAAATTGAAAGACAAAGCTTTTAGAGAAAACTGTGGACTATATATTCTTATGAACAATACTTAAACTTGAATAAAACATAAGACACCTTAATGATGATTCATTGACCCAATGTTACTAGCACTCTGTTGTCTAAACTCATCAAACTTGGTAGTTAGTAAGGTAGCAAGAAGTTGAAATAAACGCTGCAAAATCTAGCAAATTGCAATCAATAGCAGTGCAAACATTTAAACAAACAGCAAGAAACCTTCAAAGGGATTGGACCGAAAGACTCCCCCATTTGAATTCCAACCAAAAACCCATATTCCAAAGGGAAGAAAACAGATGCAGTTGCCTTAATTAGATAATTATCCATTCGAATTGATTAAGTAGCTATGTGAAACACATAGAAACCAATGCAGCAAGACATCAGTTTTCACGTAGAGAAACCAAGAGAAATACACGAAACGAACCACAAAGGAAGAGGCGA